AGTAAGTAAGGAGCCGTGCCCTGACAACTGATCACGTTGTGTTCCTTGATACCGAAATGAAATAAAGTACGACAATCAATAGAGATTTTGTTTGTGACAAAAATACTAGTAGCAAACGGACTGTGCCATCATATACAAGACAATCTATAGATATATCCTTATATGTTTCCTACTCCAATTTACAGTTCTCCGAAGTCAGTTGAACATGCATAAAAAACCGAGCAATCAAATTAAATGAGTTTCATGGGCGTCCCTAAAAAAGCTTTCTGCTAAAGGTAGAAAATTATAATAATTTGTATATAATGTGTAGAAAATTTCTATTACATGTTAATTTGTCCAACAACATATTTTAATTATTTATATCCTCATACAATTTTATTATTTTGATCTTAAATTTCGTTTTGTTCCATTTCAAAAGGTCTCCAAAATGCCATGTTGTAATAATATTAGTAAACCAAATATCCCTCTTATTTCTCCCTTTAGCAATTGTAATATGAATGATCAGAATGATTAATAGGAGGGGTACCTATAATAAAATAAAATTATCTGAATCACATCAAATTCCGCATTCCCGCACTGCACTGCTAGGCGACTAGTCGACAACTGAATTTTGACAACACGATGGACCAGAGAAACAGTGCGCATTGCTCTTTGCCCACACGCTCATTCTTAAGTATACGTAAGTATACATTTCTACCACCTGCACTTTTCGTTCGACCAGATCTGTATATGGGCTGTATATGGCTAAATAAATGTGGGAACAAATTTTTCAAATATTTCAATGCCGAGTTGCTGCTTAGCGACCGAGCCTGGTACATACCTTGAAGATATTGGTTCTTCAATTGACTTAATTAATTTTTTATAAACATTTTTATGCAAAAAAGCGCATTTTTTTAGTTTTTTTGCTTATAAAATCTAAACTAACGAAGCAATATGAATTCAATAAAGAGACAATTTGTAGAAAGTCGAAATACGAATAAAACGAGAGGTCGATCGGATAATTAGAAACGAAGGAAACCCGGAAAAATCGGAATATTTAGCGTTTTTTGAAAAATGCATTACTCCGCCATTTTTTAAATTGTAGAGCTGACCCTGTGCACAAAAGTAGTGAATTATATGTACTTAAGTGTGCACAAAGCAGGCGCTATCGGACGTTAGTTTTGGCACAATTGCAATTGCAATTGCAATTTGGCACAATTTGGTGTTCTTGTTTGAAGTTGATAATAACCGAGAAAAAACATTTAATTGATCAATCACGTTTTTTGATATTTTAATAAAACATTATTTTAAAATTTTTAAATTTCCTAAATAATTCAATGTAATTAAATATGATTTAGAACAATATTTTAATCCTTGCAGTCACAAAAATTTCATTTACATGCAAAAATCCACCTTCGTTTATTGACTGTTTAAAATTATAGTTTCAATTGTTTTGCAAGTTTTTCAATAATTTCTGATATTAAGCCGTCTGATTTTTTTATAACTGTAAATAAAAATGTATTTATCAATGTTGTAGTCAACATCAAATTTGAGAAAAATAATTGCCTAACTTAAAAAAAAGTTATGGCTAAATATAACTGTAATTTTTGTCTATGCAGCTGAGTCGATTTCGAATTTTGAAATTTTTGAATAAAGTATCATTTGAATTGTACCATTACTTTTAACAATACACAACAATAATTAAAAAAAAAAACAACATTTTTTTGTAGGTACTTGTTTAAATTCTACTTTCTAATTTGAAAATTACATTATTTATAGTTATGTTATACCCTACAATTTCTATAAAGATGCCCCAGTCTGTATATTTCTGCAAAATCGACCACCCTGAGCCTAGGGCATTAAGCATCTATACTGCGGAAAATCAATAAGAAAGTTTTGCTAAGATAAGTTGTAATTACAATTTTTTTAATGTGTTAAAATACCATACATTAAGATTAATAAAAATGATTTTGCTAACACCCTTCTACTACCTAAGTCAACACTTTAGAACAAGAGTACACCTTCTTACGGTGAACAGATAAAATTTTTCTACCATTTTTTAGAACTTCTTAGATACATTTTTTCATAATAATGTGAAACAAAAAGGGGCAGTGTCTATTTTTCTACATTATACGCTTCATATGGAACTTACCCTAAAATATATCAAGTTTGTACAATTTTTGTTGAGATAGAACTCCAAGAAAAGAATAAGCCAATAAAGTTCTGTTATCGGAACTATTCTAACAAATTACCCCAGAAGGGGCGTGCCTTGAAATTTTCCGCGTTATTTTTAAAATATTAAAATATAAACACGATACTCTTTGACTGGGAATTAAATTCCGTTCTTTTATTTTTCACCTCCATTGAATTATTTTAATAAGAAAACTGTTGGTAACTGTTAAACACAGGACATATGCACTGCAAGCTGCTACGAGTGTCGAACTCGGTTAATTCCAAGAAAGTGACACAGGGGTCTTCTTGGAATTATGTCTCAACAAATACCGTACGGGCTGTAGGTATAGTAGGTACGTAATAATAATAAATACCAATAAAAGTTAACAAATTAACAATTTCTTACTCGTAAGGAAAGCGATTGTAGAAAATAATAGACAGTTGTCCTAAGTGTTCCGCGGTTAATCGTCTCTGGCGATCGGTCGACCGTTCAACATGTACCGAGATCATATGCGCATATCTAAAAAAATCAATACTATTTTTCTAATTTTAGTAATTGTACAATAACATGTACATGTCTGCCTTTGAACTGAAGCTTCGCATCGATCATATTATTCGATACGTATCTAGCGGCACTCTAATGCCTGCCTTGCCGGCCTAGCTTGCCGGTGAGCAATCCCGCTTTTTTTGTTGAGACGGTGGCCGCGCATTTCATTATCGTTTGTGCGTGTGTGAGGGAGTTTGCTTTGCTTGGTCGACTGTATGGCACGTGTTTTTTGTGACTGTCATTAGCATTGTGTATTATGAGCATAGAACGGCACACGGTTTAACCTAAGTCTGCTACTACAACGCCTATTACTACTTAATAATAATATAGATTACTATTGTTTATTATTTTTTTTTATTGTCGCCACAAAGGTTCCGACGTCTGCACTAGATAATTGACTTTAGTTGAAGCCTACCTATTAATGGTTAAAAATAATTACCTACGGCGGAATGAAAATTGTATAACAGTAGCTAAACAGTTTTTTAGCGCGTAGTAATCATAGTTGAAACGCAGACAGGCAAGTTACATAGCCATTTAGTATCCCATATTGCAACAAAAAGGATGCTTTGTCCGTCTCTCATACAAAATAAATAACGGTTTATATTATGTCAGTAATATAATAATACCTAACCAACAGTGTTTTGACTGTGTGGTGCATAAATATACGTTATGTTAGGCAGGGCCGGATTAACCTATGGCCCGGGGCTAGAAGCTCTACAAAGACCCTTTTCCTAATAAAAAAAAAACATAACCTAAGTAAACACATTTTGGTGTGGTTCTAAAAAAAATCACGCAATAAGAGGGGATACAGCCCCCTAGAGCCGGGCCTGATATAAGGGTTAAAGTTACGCGTAAATGATATTTACGGTATTTACCATCTGTATATAATTACGACGTTTTCCTTTATACTCCTAAATTTTTTAAACATATATGTAGTTGCTAGACTTTTAGAATTATGCCATAAAAAATGTAGGTACTTACGTATGTCAAAACTTGACCTCTCTTACATTTAAAAATTAGGACACTCGGGTAAGTAAAAATAGGTAAATGTAATTTAGTATGCATGTAATAAAGAAATTTCAAAAAATATTGTGTCGAAGTGTACCTTGAAGTATAAGTCTTTCCGATATCAGTTGAGGAACCAAGAGTATGACAGTATGTACCAGGTTTGGTCGCTGATGCAGCAACTCGGCATTGAAATATTTGAAAAACTTGTTCCCATTTTTATTTAGCCATACCCATATACAGGTCTAGTCGCCCAGTTGAAGAATGAGCGCGCGGCACAAACACAGTCGTACTGGGCCAGCTGACGATAAATTCGGTTGTCAACAAATTGCCTAGCAGTGCAGTGCAGCAATGCGGAATTTGGTGTGATTCCGGTAATTTATTATAGGCACCTTCTATTAATCATTCATATTACAATTGGGAAAGGGAGAAATAAGAGGGATATTTTATTTACTAATATTATCACGTGGCATTTTAGAGACCTTTTGAAACGGAACAAAACGAAATTTACCATCAATATAATAAAATTGTTTGAGAACATAAATAATTAAAATATGTTGTTGGTCAAATGAACATATAATAGAAATTGTCAACACATTATATACAAATTATAATTTTTTACCTTTAGCAGAAAACTTTTTTAGGGACGCCTATGAAACTCATTAAATTTTTATTGCTAGACGTTTTTATACATGTTCAACTGACTTCGGAAAGAATATGCATGCCTACATACCTACTTTTTAAGTCAAACTATTTACCTATTATTAACTTTAAATTTGTGTCTATTTTCATATTCATGATTAAAATAATAATTAAGACGTATTAAGATATAGATTAACTGTTTCAAAAGCAATAATTCAGCAAAAAAAAAGGTCAGTAGGTAGTACTTAAGTACTTACCTAACTATTTGGTAGCACCACAGTTAATAGTCAATATTAAATAGACAGATTTATAAATGAAAAATTGTATCATTTCGTCTTCCCCCTTTTCCAAGTTTAAGAAAGAGAATAAATATAATAGTGGGTAACCCTCTATAATTTCGGCAAGTCCTGTTGCAACTACAAAAGAATTGGCCAGGTAAAAAAGGAAGATGACTAAAATGCTGAAAACGGCAAAAGACATTGACTTTATAACAAAAACTGCAAGTAAGTATAAAATTTTAAAAACATTACATTATTTGAAATAATTACATTTGTTTCTTGCCGGTTATAATCTAATACATAATTAAAAAAATATTTAAATACCAGTTACTTTTCGCGTGGCTGTACCACTCGTACTGGCTCATCTGGCCATTTTACTGACGCTCAAAGATGTTAGGTTATGTTGTTAAGATGTCATTGAGTCATTATTTTCTTAATTTATTTTGAAATAATCTTAAAATGAGTTCCAGTATGTATATTTTTGTTTTTGCTTTTATTTACTTTAGTTATTTTTTTTCATAAATTATTATTTTCACTAATTTTTTACTGTTCTTAAGTGCACAAATAAACTTTTTCTGCAAAAAGTCACTACATTAATCAATAATGCAAATATAAGTAATAAAGATAATTCATGGATTTTTTAACAGTTGAAAGAGATCCCAATAAGAGGAGGGTGAAACCAGTGGAGCAAGCATGTGTATTAGATTTTGATGAAGAAAGTTCTGATGATAGTGATTTTCGAATCGAGGATCATCCAGAAATTAGTGATGATGATGATTCTCTTGACAGTCACGGAGAAAGAAATGGTATGTAATATTTATTTCATATGTACGTAGGTTCTTAACATGTAGAGATAAAAATATTGTCTTCAGAAAATGAAAGCAGTGGTGAGGAGGAAGAAGAGTCTGAGGTATCTGATATAGACGAACTTAAAGATTTAAATCTTTCAAATAGCAATGGTATTACTTCTATTGCAGATGTACTTCACCAGGCTACCATACAATCAAAGTTAAAGGTAATAATATCAGTTGTTAGAAATTATTATTTACTCTTATGATTTATAAGTTTAGCTTTTATTTACGTTACATTTAAAATAGAAGACGAAAGCAAAACACTTCCAGTAAAATTACGAGAAATGCAAATTTTCAAATGATTCTCACATTTTCACTGTGATCTTTCAATATTTTGTTGATATATAGGTCCATACATTTTTTATTAATCAGCTTTATGAAGTACCTATCTCAAAAGTACCTTTTATCTAGTTTTGAATGTGTCAGTGTCTTACGAAATTGTATAGTGTAGCCACCACTTGAGCATTAAGTATGTATCAAATATTTTTAGTTCGATCAAAGAGATGCACAAATACTTATCTGTTGCGGATGCTTAGGAGACCAAAGTGATGGTATAAATGAGATTGTTGAGTGTGATGGTTGTGGCGTTACAGTCCATGAAGCTTGTTATGGAGTATCAGATTCAGCTAGTCTAGCAAGTACTGATTCACTCTCCCCCACAACACCATGGTTTTGTGAAGCTTGCAAAGCAGGTAATTTAATAGTTCACCAGAAAGAAACTGGGAGAGTTTTTACTATGCTTCATATTTAGGTGAGAAAGACCCAATTTGTGAATTGTGTCCTAATAAAGGAGGAATTTTCAAAGAAACCGATGTGGGAAAATGGGTACATTTAGTCTGTGCTCTATACGTGCCTGGCGTAGCTTTTGGTGAGGTAGATAAGCTGACGAGCGTAACTTTATTTGAAATGCCATACAGCAAATGGGGAGCGAAAACCTGTTGTCTTTGTGATGATGATAGGTTTGCTAGAACAGGTGTCTGCATCGGTTGTGATGCAGGAATGTGCAGGACATACTTTCACGTTACTTGGTAAATTAAAGAAAGTTTAAATTTCTTGTGGTTTTATAACATTCTTTATTCTAGTGCACAAAGGGAAGGATTCCTTTCAGAAGCTCATTCCGAAGAAGTTGATCAAGCCGATCCATTCTATGCTCATTGTAAATTGCATTCCGATAAAACTCTTGTAAAAAAGAGGAAGAGAAACTATTTGGCTCTTCAACTTCGTACACATTACAGGAAGTATCAGTTTGAACAAGAGGGTCATAAAGATACTCCAGAACAAGTAAGGATACAGAGGAAGTTGGAAAAACAGAAGGTTCATTATTTAAATCACAAAGCCCTCAAACCACCACCTTGGGGTAAGTATTTGAACAAATATATCGTTTTCTTCTCATAATTTTTACTTTGTCATTAGGCTTTCTTGCTTTTATGAAAGTTAATTGTTACTACAGCTTGACACTTTGGTGTGTGAATAAAAAAGATATTTGAAAACAATAAATTTATAAATGTTTTTCTGATTTACACTGTGATAAAACAATAATAAATTGTCATGATTTGTAGCTGGAAATTCTCTCAGTGTAAAAAAGATTTTGAAGGTCAAATCAACTATTACAGCTGCCATACTGGGCATTTTTTTGTGACCTATTTTTTAAGCTCGGTGTGTATATTCATATTTCAGTGTCACAGATTGGTCAATAGAGAATAATTTTGATTATTTCGGCAGAAAACCTAAGGCTGTCAAATGTATCATCATATGCATTATTATCAAATAAATTTAGAATAACTATACGAAATCACAAATAGGAAAAAGAAAAGATTACGTGTTTTAGGACAACATTCTAATATTCGATAAAATAAAATGTTTTATATTCTTCACAGTTAAACATACATATTTGTTTGAAGAACTATTGTAGAAGCCGTTTTAGTGATACAGACACAAGGTTTCATAAAAAAATAACAGGAATTGTTAATTTTCTCAGAAAATATTTATTTAATCTTAAGTTTTTATCCCATCTCCTTCAAAGTAGTCCCGCTGTGATATTATACACTTATGCTAACATAGTTTCCAGTTTGAGACACTGGTAGAATCTCTTTTTCTTCATCTTGAGAACGGTTAGCGATTTTGCCTTTCTCTCATATATTGTTGAAAAAACGTCCTTTGGGTATCTATTTGAGTTTGGGAAATAGAAAAAAGTCACAAGTAGTGATGGGAAGATCTGTTTTTTCGCGACCCGGGTCATCCAGGTCAATTATTAAAACGATCTCCGTTCATGAAGACCCGTTCATATGAACGATATCGAAATAGTCTCGAATCCAATCTGCGTCATTCAGTGTTTCATTTCGTCAGTCCGTGCGCAATAGAATACTTTTTATTGTCACGGTTTGCGGCGGCTAATATCTTCCTGCATCTGCACCTGTACATTTGATAGATTTATAGACATATATTTTTGATATTTGTATTTTTTTAAGAAACAAATGTGTTATTTAATTCCAGATACTTTTTATAAATATAAATTGCGTCAGAAAATGTATTGCTTAATACTTATGCAAAAAAATAGTACAGATATTGTGAGGAGTCCTTAAAAGCACTTACGAGGGTGGTCTGAAAAGTTTCCAACCTCAACATGAAGATGGCAGCACTCGTAAATAAAAGCTAGTGAATTTCGTTGTTCATCTGTTGACAGTTACTCACCAAAGTTTCAACCATTTTGGACACACAGTTGTTATGTAACAGTCGTTTGAGTGAGTTGATGTGAGTGTTTTTATAAAAATGGACAAAATCCAGTATCGAGCTGTCATTAAATATTTGATTTTGAAAGGCAATACACCTACGCAAATCAAAAATGAGTTGGATTCTGTGTATGGGGACTCTGCACCATCATTTACCACAGTGAAATTTTGGGCAGCTGAATTTAAACGTGGCCGAAAGAGCTTGGGAGACGATGAACGTTCGGGACGTGCAAAAACTGCAACTACCGCCGAAAACATCGCCAAAGTTCACCAAATGGTGCTAGACGACCGCCGAATTAAAGTGAGAGAGATAGCAGAGGTTATGAACATGTCAAAAGAACATGTTTGTCACATATTAAATCAACATTTAAACATGAGAAAGCTGTCTGCGCGTTGGGTGCCGCGTTTGCTCACGTTAGACCAAAAACGTGTTCGAATGAACATTTCAAATGCTTTGTTGGCGCAGTTTAGGCGCAATAAATTCTAGTTTTGGCGCCGATTAATTACTGTAGATGAAACTTGGATACACCATTATACGCCCGAAACAAAAATACAGTCCAAACAGTGGACTGCAAAGGGGGAACCGGCTCCAAAAAAATCAAAAACTGGCTGGGAAAAGTGATGGCGACCGCTTTTTGGGATAGTCATGAAGTTATTTTAATCGATTATCTTCAAAAAGGAAAAACCATTACAGGAGCATACTACGCATCATTACTTGACAAGCTGAAGGCAGAACTTGCGGAAAAACGGCCACATTTGCAGAAAAAGAAAATCCTGTTTGAACTGCTTGACATTCCGCCTTACTCACCAGATCTAGCCACAAGTGACTTCTTTTTGTTCCCTCATCTAAAAATTGCGTTCGGAGGACAGAGATTTTCGTCAAATGAAGAGGCAACCACCTTCGTGAACAATTATTTTGCAGAGAAAAACGACGAGTACTATTTAAACGGATTACAGAGATGGGAGCATCGCTGGGAGAAGTGTGTAGAGTTACAAGGAGACTATGTTGAAAAATAAAAAAAAATTTCGGAAAAAATGTCTTGTATCTTTATTAGGTCAGAAACTTTTCAGACCACCCTCGTATACTATATCTCAAATTTAAAATAATTTTTATTTAGTTTTGTTTTATAAGAGCAGCAGGCAAGTTCGTAAGTTGTATTATATTTCACTGTTGGTTAAAATTTTAAAAATGCCTAAAAACGAAAAAGAAGTAAGTAGAGTATAGAATTTTTTACTGAACACATGATGTCTTTTAAAGGAGGAGCAACTGGCAATCTAATTTGATATTTAAAATTAGCTTACCCCTAACCAAAAATAATTCTGCAAGTACTCATAAAAGTGAAATAAGTTTTGAATGTGCATCTATATTCACTTCAGACTACAGTGTCCAGTATTCAAATTGCAGATCACAAACCGTTACCCAATAGATCATAAAATCGATCTTTCGTGGCTTTCATTCTGCACCAGCTCTCCAGTTCAGATCTGCAGGCACTGAGTTTGCGCTCAAATGAACGACGAGCGATAGGGTCACACAACGTGAACGGGTCAATCGCAGATCTTTTAGAAGATTTGGTCATTATGATCGGATCGTTCATGAACGACACATCACTAGTCACAAGAGTCATGTCCGGAAAATAGGGTAGTACGGCATCACAATGTTATTCTGTTTGAGCAAGGACCGTTGGATAAGCAAAGCGGTATGCGCTAGTGCGTTGTTGTGATGCAAAACGAGTTATCTCTCCTGTTCTTGTCGTTTTCTCCTGATTGCCTCATGCAAATTATGCAAAAATTGTAGGTATTACTCCTTGTTAACGACCGGACAATAAAAATTCCTGATGAACTATTCTGTTGTAGTCGAAGAAAATGGTTAGGACCTTCACATTTGACCAGGAGCCTATTTTTTTTAAAATACTTTTCAACTTTTCACTTTTCTGTTTACAAATGTAGAAAAACGAAGAATAATTCTGCTTTATAAAAAAATTTACTTTACATAAATTTTATGCATTTTAAGAATCTTTAACTACTCATTTTCACTGTGCAAATTACTAACTGTTTTTTGAATATTAATTTTGAAAACCGAAAATAGCCAGAAAAGTAAGGAGTAAACAGTTGAAAAGTACTTACAAAAACCAGGTCCCAGATGTCTTGTAGCATTGATATTGTCGTGGCTGTGACATAGTATTATCGCTAGGGTTTCTGATTTCTCGGCCTACTTTTTTTCTTGGGTCTCGAGAATTCTCGACTAGGAATTCCCGGGAATTCTCGAATTCTCGAGAAATTTCTAAAACTAAAAAAAGTCATAATTTTGATATTGCAATGCGAAATATAAACATGCTATTATACTTAACAATCATCATTAACATTTATTATTTATTCAGTATTTTTATTAATTACTTATGTTTCTNGCGCTCAAATGAACGACGAGCGATAGGGTCACACAACGTGAACGGGTCAATCGCAGATCTTTTAGAAGATTTGGTCATTATGATCGGATCGTTCATGAACGACACATCACTAGTCACAAGGGTCATGTCCGGAAAATAGGGTGGTATTCTGTTTGGGCAAGGATCGTTGGATAAGCAAAGTGGTATACGCCAGTGCATTGTTGTGATGCAAAACGAGTTGTCTCTTCTGTTCTTGTTGTTTTCTCCCGATTGCCTCAAGCAAATTATGCAAAATTTGTAGGTGTTACTTCTTGTTAAGGACCGGGCAATAAAAATTCGTGATAAACTATTCTGTTGTAGTTGAAGAAAATGGTTAGGACCTTCACATTTGACCAGGAGCCTATTTTTTTAAAGTACTTTTCAACTTTTCACTTTTCTGTTTACAAATGTAGAAAAGCGAAGAATAATTCTGCTTTATAAAAAATGTACTTTACATAAATTTTATGCATTTTAAGAAGCTTCAGCTATTCATTTTCACTGTGCAGACGAACTGTTTTTTGAATATTAATTTTGAAAACAAAATAGCCAGAAAAGTGAAAAGTAAGGAGTGAAAATTTGAAAAGTACTTACAAAAAACAGGCCTCAGATCTCTTGTATTATTGATATACTCGTGGCTGTGACATAGTATTGTCGCCAAAGGCCTTCTTTAACATTTTAAACGCTTTGCTGCACTTAATTCTTTTTTAAAAATACTGAGGTGTTTTACTTATTCACTCACTAAACATGGCAGCTGCCTAAAAATTAATACAGCACACGCAGTTTGAAGATTCCTGTTACTTTTTGATTAAACCTCGTATATCCTGAAGTTCACCTTTCACTTGTAAGAAAATTATACACTGATAAGTTTATTTCAGTATATTTAACACGATTGTTATTTTCAAATTTCTTATAATGTCACTGACTTCATATGCAAATGTTCAGCTCTAATCATTACATTAGAACTTTAGCCATTACATTTAAGTTTTTTTGGCAGAAATCCCTGTTTTAGTTATTGTATATTTACTAAATTGTCATAAGGAAAATTAGAATCCTTTTCTATTTTAAGACTTTTTTTTATTTTTACAATCAGTTTCACTTCTTAAAGCCATGATCAGAGATTAAAGTTGCATGAATGAGACTGGTTAAGCAGAACCACTTCATAATTTAATTTTAATTAATGGTGCAAATTAGTAAAATGTTGTTCACACGCGGGAATTGATAATATTTTACTAATTTACAAAATTAATTAATATTTAATTAAGAAATAATTAATCTTAGCAAGTCTCATTTATGGGACTTTAATTTTTCCTGATGATGTCTTTTAGAAGTCGAAACAAGGGAAAATGAAAGATAAATAAGAATTTGCACTGCAACAAAAAAGGAACTAGTTAAAAATATTTTTTAGTGCCAACGCAAAAAATGCCCAGATTATTAACAACTAGCGCATCTGCCTGTCGGAAACTTTTGCGCAAAGCCGAGCTCATGGGCATAAACACATTAGCCTTAGAGATGCAGGAGGCGCAGGCAGCTGCTTTGGTGGATGTAAGAAAGAAATGGCATATTCCTCCTGCGTTTACGGTAGAGTTCATTGCGTATTATTTAGATCGCAATGATCGTCTGAAAGAAATGAAAACTACATTGGAAAAATTGATGGAGGATAATAAGAATTTATTAGATGAACAGCAACATTTGAGGGTTAAATATGATGAGGTGAGTATAGTTATAAAAAAAATTGTATAATATTGGATACACAGAGTATGTGTATGTTTTTGGACACTTGTAATGTAAGCATTTTCTTCGGAAGGTTCTGAAGAAAAACACTGACGTGACTTCGAAAAATATTGACCTAAAACAAAACATTCACAAATACCATTCAGCTATCTTGAGTGCCTGCCCGACTAAGAACTTGCCCAACATTGAAGATTTGGGTAAACCGCCCATCGCCAGAGCTCCACAACCTATGATGGTGCCAACTGCGGCCGCCTTGAAAATGGGAGTTGGGTTTCCGCTGAAGAATATTCCTTCAGGTAGAGGGGATAGGGTGCTTAGTAGTCATGCTAACAAAGGTATAACGCAAAATTCTGAAATAGTAGGCAAGTTTAATAATGCTTATATGTGTGTGTATATAAAATTATTTAATTAAAAAAATTGTCTTAATGGAGAGTAATCTGTTATGTACTTAATTTACCAGCACATAAAAAGTATACAGGGTGGTCCATGATTGTGGTAAAGTAAGTAACTAGATACAAAAAAGTGATCAACTAGGGGTTGATTAGAATCAAAAATGATTTTTTAAAATGATTTTCGTATATACAGGGTGGTGCATAAAAACGTGGCAGTCAAAAAGTTAGGTCTATTTCTAACTTCGGAATATGGGGTGTAAATTGTTAGATATTGAGTACAAATTAATTCTAAAAATTTTGAAATTTGTTAAAATTTGTAATAATTCACAACACTGTAGGTAACTCTCGCTCCCACACTTGGTATCAAAAAGTGGTATTTTGCATTATCCAAGGCTTTCCTTCGTCTTCTAAGACAAATTCCCAAAGCCTCTTTATAAAGAGCCCGCGGTGCGAGAGAGATACCCAAAGTACATCCGATGTTTAGACAAAAAAGGGACAAGTGTCAGTGAAGACGTCAAACCGAATTTCGTCCTCCGGTGCTTTTTCCGCGACATTCGGACCAGGGTTAGTGGTTAGTTTGCCGTTAGACACTAGTTCTGGTCTCTTAGAGACAAAATTATAACGATAAAACTTAATTTGAACATTTTAAATTTTGTATTTATGCCTGTGGAGATCCAAATTTTTAAATAGCCCCCATAGGCTCCACACATCGATAAGCCGTTGTAGCTCAGTTTGTAAGCTCACGATTGGGAAGACGAAGGTTGAGCTTTTTTTGGAAAACGTTATTGTCAAACTTTTATATATAGGATGTTTAAACAAATTTTGGACACGGTGGTTAAAAAAATGTTATATTTACTGCAGTACGACCTGAGTCACGCAAGGTCAACCCGGCAATTGAAACTTTCCGAATAAATAATTAGAATAGGGATGGCTGATCTTCCACTTCCTAAATTTGTGATACATTTTTCTAAAACACCTTGTGTAGCGAGTTTTATATAAAAAGCTAGCTTTTGACAGCCACGTTATACATACAATTCGGTGCTAAAATTTAATTAGAAACATAAAAAAGTGATGTACTATGTGTCAAAATGAACAACGAAACATTCTCAAATTCATTTTTTTTCACTATCACCAGGTTGTAATTGCAAATTATGCTACCAAAGATAAGGCTCTGTGCTCGTATGCTGTGAAACTGTTTGGAAGTCAACGAGAAAGTCAAATAGAAAAACATTTATTTTAGAATAACACCCATTTCATACTTACTGGAACTGGCTAACCGGATCCAGTTATTCGACAGCAAGATGTACAGAGTCTTATAGTAACTTTCACACGTGACGGAAGGAGTTATTCAGCGAATGGCCGCCAGGTTGTAACCGGTCGCCACTACTACCAGCCCGGCTGTCGTGTACCGGCTAACTGGCTACCAAGGTGGTAGTAGTGCGTAGTTTTGTATTGATGCTTTCACACTTGCCGGGTTTAGTCGTTCGGTTTCATTGAAAAGAACAGGACGTATAAATTATTCTTTTAAATATTTGTATGCAACTATGTCGAGTGTTTGTATGCTAGAAGTAGATATTGAATTCTTTATACAGGGTGTTTCAGGATTAAGTCGTCAACCTTTAAGGAGATATTCCTCATAAAAAAATAAAAATATCAAGTATAAATTTTTTTCCAGACGCTTCATTTTCGAAATATGGGGCGTTAAAAGATTTTTATAAAAATTCGGATTTTTTAAATAATTTCTAACTGAAGAAGGCTATTTAAGCCAAATTTGGCATGGCACATCTTCTTATAAGATACCATTTTTTCATAGAAGTAGAAGTCCCGCAAGCAATTGGAATTAATTCTCGACACGCTTGGACTATTCGCTGCCTTAGATCTTGTAGGGTATTAACTGGCACCTCGTAGACTTTTTGTTTAGCAGCACCCCAAACGAAATAATCCTTCGATGTCAAGTCCGGTGAACGTGCGGGTCACGCTGCAGGTCCTTCACGACCAATCCATCTCCTGGGATAATTAATATTTAACCACTGCCTAGAACCCCTACCAAAATGGGCAGGACAACCATCTAGTTGAAACAAACTGTTAATTCAAGTATTAAGCGGAACATCTTCTAACAGATCTTGAAAACCATTTTCAAGGAACTCGGTCAGGATTTAACCGATGCGGAAGGAAGTAGGGACCAACTATAGTGCTGTCCAACACACCCAACCATATGTTACATTGGAATTCTTGCTGAAAACTATGTTCCCTTACCGCCCGTGGAGTGTCGTAGGACCAAATATGGTTGTTCCTTTGGTTTAAAATTCCCCTTCGAGTAAATGTTGCCTCATCTATCCACATTACTTTTTGCGTAAACTGATCATCATTTTCTGCTTGGTTTAACATCCAGTCACAAAACACGTGCCTGCATCGTATGTCCTGAGGTAATAAATGTTGCACAGGCTGGATATGGTACGCATGGCGTCCATCAGCCCGAAGAGTCCTTCAAACGGAACTTGACGAAATACCTAGCTCATAGCTAGATCTTCTGACACTCCTGGATGAATTTTCATCGAAATGGTTTAAAATAGTATTCGATCTTACTTCGTCCTGAAGTGGGGCAAAATGTCCCATCATAAGTTGGAATACAGAATCTTACTGCATATTCACGGCGAGCCGCCGTGGCATTTCCATCAAAAAACCATATACAAAGACCATATCAGCATATTCATTGTTCGAAAATATGGATGGCATTATTAAACTTATTTTTATTATTAGTTTGAACGCTTTATCTAATAGATAATTTATGCAACAATTCGCAAAATAACATTTAAAACGTCAAATTAACATTGCTTGACAGCAGCCTACTCGAAAATTTTTGTTGAGGTTCATTTTAAAGTTTATCGACAGAATTCAGAAGCACCCTTCTGAAAAATCAATTTTGCCATGAAGCTATAAGAGTTAGGAAAAAAAGTGAATGTACTTTTTGTCAATAACAAACTGTTCTATCTAAAAACAGCATCATTTTTTATTTTCAGTAGGGCCGTATAAATTTTTTTTTATAATTTAATGAGTGAGCCTCTGGAAAAAATGTGTACTTGACTTTTTTCAGTTTTTTCTAATTTTTTTATGAGAAATATCTCCTTAAAGTTTGTCGACTTAATCCTCAAACACCCTGTATATATCACTGGTTGAAGCCAGACCTGTCCTGTGGGACAAATTTTTATTCATGAAACCACAAATCTTCAAACAGTATAAAATGCTCCTAACTCTTCGCTCTTCATATTTATTGGATGCACTCACCATGCACCTTTGTTTTTTCTTATTATGACGACATTGGCAGTAGGCAAGCCGCACAATTGCAATGAGTTTATGAGCCTTCTCTTGTCGTGATGAAAATGCCACTGAGACTAATATCAGCCAAACCAGTTTGAAAATTAAATTACGTGTAAAAGAGCTAGCCAGATCCGGCAATAAGTGTAAAATGGCGCTAATTATTTTGAGAACCAGGACCTGAAATTTTATAAATAAATATGTAATAAATACTTGGTGATTCTGTCACAAATCAACAAAAAAATGCTTATAAACCTGATTCTAGAAAAGAAATAATTAATAATAAAAAGAACTGAATAATTGAAGAAAGTACATTTTTTAAAATTAAAAGAATAATAAACATTTGAAATTTCATAATTTATATAATACATAATTTATCGCTCTAATCAAGAAAAGGAAAAAAAGCGACTTGCAATCTGAAAAAATTATCAATAACTTCTCCAAGCTGCGAACCTTGTATACATATTTCTTTTATAAAGAAAATACCCAACACATAGTATCAATCAACGTGCCCGACCATTTTTAAAAAGTTTAATATTTGATAAAAAAAAATAATATATTTGATTATTTCTTTTCAATAATTTGAATTATTTTGTATCCGAATAATAACAGCTATTGTACTTGATCTCACTAATGGGTCATCAAAATCAAAATTAATATTTCTAGTTCTTGAAATATTTCAAAATATTTCTCTCAAACTCTTTAATATGGAAATGCAATATTTTTGTTTATGATTTACATATTCCAATTATTATGTATTCTGTGTATAACTAAATTTTTCAGATCCTCTAATGCTGAACGAGTGCGGTATTTGCCGACAAAGGAGAGACCAGCACCTCCTTGCAAAATGCGACACCTGCCATCTGTTTTACCACCTCGATTGCCTCAATCCGCCCTTGAGTCGCCTCCCAAAAAAATCGAAGTTATATGGATGGCAGTGTTCAGAATGCGATAAAACATCGGATTCCGAAGTAGAGGAAGTGAAAACTCCCCGTCGAAGTCGAAGCCGCTACAGTAAAGAAAACAAATCGGACCAAGAGACCTCTTCTCCTCCCAAACTTAAAATAAAACCCGTGGGTCCCATCGAATCCAAGTCCAGTCCTACCAGTCCCCTGCTCCACGTAAGAAAACATTCTCATTCCTTTAATAGAACCCTGCCCAGCCTTAGCACATCACACGACACTAATATACAAGACATGTCCTTAAATAGTACGACTGAATCCAACGGCTTGAAAGTTATACTTGATAATTGTATCGAGGGGCACAAGTCTGCAAAAAAACGCAGAAGGGAAAAGCACAGAAACCGATACTCTCCCGACTTGGGGATTTCTTCGAAGGAACATAAAAGAAAGAGAAAGAAGAAAAGTCTCGACATTGAAGACACTCTTCCACATCCTAGGATTACGATTAAGGTTGAGTTTTATTTTTTTAAACAGCAAACAGTTACCGAACATTGTGGTAAATATTTTAAAGGCCAAATATACAGGGAGTGCCACTTAATATTTCTATGTCCTATTTTAGATTGGTACTAGTTGTAGAATGTAGGTGAAGAACAAGTAGTGTTCAACTTGGCATCGTTATACAGGATGGTCTGTAATGATTGGGCCATAGAGTAACTAGGCATGAAAATAATTAAATTTAGCCAAATATGCTTTAAAATATTGTTCATTTGAGAGATATAGTGTTAAAGATTGATTTTAGATTTATTTAGTTCATAAATTTTGGTTTTGGAGAAAATAACTTGTAAACTTAGAATGGAGGGAAATTTGAATCTGAATTCAATTATCAGGTAGGGCCTAATAGAGGGCGCTAGTTACCTATGTACTTATGAATAAAAATTGCTCATTGTAATTTATATAATAATGTATACATCCCTCTATCACAATTTTGAATAAAACGTGATTAACTGATTATTTTTAAGATATTCTTATGAAATAAATAATAAATCCAAAAATCAATTTTTAACACCCTGTATCTCCTAAACGAGCAATATTTTGTAAAGGCATATTTGGCTAAATCTTATTATTTCCATGCCTAGAATATACAGGGTTATCCAAAAGTCCCAGTACGGCAGAAAAATTTTCGAAGAAAGCATTTTGGGAAAAAAATTTTCAGACAAAAGTGTAAGGATTTTTCCCGGGCTATCTGATGGTGGCCTTGGATTTGACCTTCAAGGTCAGTTGAAGGTCAAGTTAAGTTTTTTAAATAAAAACCCCTATTTTTAATTGCGGATTTGGAAAGAGCAGGAAATTTTATGTCCAAAATTGGTCTTGACCATGACTTTGACAATGACCTTCAAGGTCAAATGTGGGTCGACTTCCAAAAGTCGCAGTACGGCAGAACTTTCAAAGAATGCATTTTGGGAAAAAATGTTTCAGAAGAAAGTGTAAGGATTTTTCCCTGGCTATCTTATGGTGACCTTGGATTTGACCTTGACTTTGACCTTCAAGGTAATTTGAAGGTCAAGTTAAGTTTTTTAAATGGGAACCCTAATTCCTTATTGCCGATTTGGAAAGAGCAAGGTCATTGTCAAAGTTATGGTCAAGGCACTTTTTTCAGGATAATTAGACCCTGGTTAGTGGTTATTTTGTCTTTCGTCCACAGATACGACACAAAATACAGTCGCGTTTGTGTCAGGTATAATCTTTAGTGTGAGGCCGTTTTGTCCGTCGACGTACTCCTTAATTTCGTCATTATTTTGTTGCGATGCCTCATAATCTAAAGTCACGCATATCTCGTTTACCCTGGACAAGGCATCCGCTACAACGCTCTCGCAACCAGCCATATAACGAATGTCTGTCATATACTGGCTAATGAAGTCTAGATAGCGGAATTGTCGCGGTGTACACTGACTTGACTTTTTCACAAAGGCAAACGTAAGAGGCTTATGGTTGGTGTAAATCGCGGATGTTCTTGCCTCGACCATATACCGGCAGTAGTTAACTGCTTCGTAAATTGCAAGAAGCCCGCAGTCGTAAGTGCGTACTTGCACTGAGCTGGGTTAAGTTTTTTCGAAAAATACCCTAGTGGTTCCCAATCATCCTCAACTTTTTGTTGCACTACGGCACTGATTGCAAAGTCGGAAGCGTCACACACTAAGTCTTTGCGAAAACCTACATTTTTATGACCCCAGCTTGTCATCAGACAAGCAGGTTTTTCCATAAAAGTGCAATTTTTGATGTAGGTAGATAAATAACTATTTTATCTTCAAACTTGTAGGTGGGGTTATCCAAATTTTTTGATCCAATAAACAAAAAAGTGGTTTCATCACAAGGTGTAAATTTGAATGGAGGTCATATTTATAGAGACTACCTTTCACCTTTAATAATGCATATCATAAGTTTGTTTTCTCAAGTTCCAGCATGAAATCAGATTTTTCACACAGAACTGGCTAGTGTAACCTGAAATAACCGCATGCTCTAACCGATAACACGACCTAGGGCATACATTGTTGTCAAATCTAATCTTTCTTTATTTGTGTACATTTCTTTTTTTTTTTTCATACCACAGAAAATAAAACAACCATATCATATTGAAAAACAGAAATTTGCAAAATTACTAGGTACTGTATTAAAACACCAAATTGAAAACTAAAATGTGTGGCATTCTCATTTTGCCAAATTAACAATGACTCCTTATTTTTTGCTCATCTAACACTCTGTTGTCATATCAGATCAGATGTATTGATATTATGTAGGTAATTCGACTAAACTAAGTCGTTGATTCACAAACTAAACGCAGTGCTTTAAAAACATAGTAAATACTTTTTACTACAAATAATTTTAATAAATATTTCAAAAATATCAGAAAATGTTTTTGTTTATTTTTTATTATGTAGTTTATAAAAGAGCAATATTATTTATTTTAAAACATAAATTAATTTTACTTATAATTAGTAACATATGCTTATCCACATACCAATATTAGTGATTTTTTGAAAAATAATGCAAAAAAAAATAAAATTTTTTAAAACCACTGAACATATTTTTAAAGTTCAACATTTATACACGTAGTCATAAAATAAAATATGGCGACTTTAGAATAACATATCGCAATGTCACACAAAGCAATCTGTTTTTACAAAATTATTTTCGATTTCCTTTAATTTCATACAATTGGTTTAATAATGTAACAGCGGACACAAAAATACATGCATGCAACTGAGAGACAAGAGTTTAAGTGCTGTTTAAGAAATTTTTTATAACTTGTCTAAACATTCGATTTAAAAAAAAAATAGTAATTTCAAGTTAGTTCGGAGAATATCTACTATTATCCCTACAAAATTGGCCCTCTCTTCTACAATGCTGACCACTTATCAGACTTCAAATTTTCAGAAAACTGAAATTGACTAAACAAACCTATTAAATTTTGATCAGATATTTACAATTTTATTTATTTTTACTAGACAAGAATAATTGTTCATAACTGTTTTAGTGCAAATTTTGTGATAGACCTTTTTTTAACATTTTACATAGTTTGAACACTATGGCTGTGTTCAGGGAATGGTTAGACCGGTCAAAGTCGTTCAATGGACAAATATTTCGTTGGTCAGCCCAATCAGCTAATTGGGAATATTAGGCAGGTTTTAATACAGTTACTAAAGACCGTTCAGCATATTATTTGACTAAGGAAGTTTGACAGAACTAGTCCGACCATTCGCCAAACACAGCCTATATTAAAGTGCACCATCCAGTTGAATCAGAAGTGATTTCAGTTAGATGATCTTGTTTAAAAAGATCCTATATATTCAAACTTATTTACTACTTATCTCAACTAAAAGTACTTTTCATGCTTTTATTCTTTTTTTTTTGAAACATTTAGAAGAAATATTTTTTAGATTAAACCCATTCCATTACCTGCTGGAGAGGTTGCATCCGAGTCAAACCCACAATGTTTTTATGTCCCTAACGAAGATGACGACAACGGTCCTCCCCCGTTGCCACCGAAAGTAGCAAAAATAGAGAAAAGGGAGGTACGGAAAAGCAGGAGTCCTAGAGTGTCGGAAACCGGCAAGGGCGAAGACAAATATAAAAGTATCTCTAAAAAGGTTGGAATGGCATCATCTACTGATAACGTTTGCGATGTTTGCCAGCAGGAAGGTTCTAACAATGATTCGGTGAAGTAAGTAATATTAATAGCTTTACATAACATTTTATGAAATACCTGTAGACAAATACAGGGTGATTTATTTTATTAAAACCCCATAATATCAATGACGATTTCTTCTAATTTCTTTCTTCCATAGAAGATGTTCAAAATGAGTTTTTTGAACATCTTGGCAGCATCCTAATCGTAAGTAAAAATGTCTTCTCATGTTTTCCAATATCGGAGGCACGATCGACCTAACCGCAACTGTTATTTTTCTTCTCAAGTCAGCTATATCACGTGTTTTGGTTTTGTATACCATACGTTTCACATGCTGGCCATTCTAGTGATCCTCACCTCCCTATCCACCGATTTGAAATTGTTAAGTCAAGGTATTGCTGGACATTGATTCAGTAATGTGGTGGTGCTCCATCCTGGTGGAACCATATCACATCGGCTGGAACTCGTGGGTTTGCTTGAGCAAACCTCCATTCAAATTGCCATCAATGAAAAAGAGATATGGTCTCCAATTACCCCCCTCCCCCCCCCAAACATTAACCTTTTCAGGAATTTGCGTATATACTCTCATTCACTGAGGACTTTCATTAGCCTAGTAGTGACAGTTGCAACTATTAACATGGCCGTGAAGAGTAAAAGTGGCAACAAAACATTTTTTTGTTTGGGTAACATTGTTATCTAAGCTTTGCTTGCAATCTTTGCATCATTTATTCACAAAAATACGTTCTTCTATCAAAATCGTCCTCATTAAGTCCTGAGTTGGAATCAGTTTATATAGGTATGCATTTTAGTTTCTTATAAGAGGGGAAACCACATTAGGAGACTAACTTTCAAGCGTTTTTAATTTTTAATGAATTTTTTTTGAGTGGGACAAATTGGTTAGAATTTGATCAATCTTTGATATTATTTCATCAATATTTTGAACTACATTTACAAGTTTATTCAAGTCATTTTTGTTGAAAATGCTGAAGTTATAGGCTATTGTCCACCGAAGGTCGTTATCTTGGTTGATTGTTCACTGGAAATGTGGTCGCAATTTTTATTTGAAAACAAAATGTCTTTTTCCAGCATTATTAACTTGTTTTCTAAGAATATGAACCTCATTGCGGGTAAAAATTGTGAAAATTGACGTTTTAACATGTGTGAAAAAAACGTACCGTAAAGTGAGTACACTTTGCTCCATTTTTTAGTTTTTTAAATCTAACATTGCAAATCAATATTAGACCATTTTTGACAATGTAAACATTAATAACGTGTAATATACAATATAAACTTTTAATTTCTTTGAAATTTCGGTTATTACTTTTCATTTTATATTTTTTTTATATACTTAAATTTTGGCCCAAAGTATCCCATAGGGAAAGTATACTTTGCACCAATGTGTATTTACCTTAGTTTTTCAGCAGTATATTGTAACTGGGCAAAGAATACCTACTCAAAGTGAAACATTGCGCCACGATAATGGGTAGAAACAATTTTAAGAAAAAAAAACTTTATTATTGGAAGAGAACAAGGAATTTTCGATTTTATTATCATTTTTATTACAAAACAACCAAAAGCATTAAAATGAATGAGATATCTAATTCTTATCAATGAAAATTCACTTACAATATATTTTAGGCCCGCCACTGTTTGTCTAATTGTGACACAAAAAATGCTCCGCGTTTTGAAACTTGTTTTGGGGGATCAATTCCGCCAATAATGTCCTTCCAAGAATAAAACAGTTCGTCTTTCTTCGCCGGCCATTTCCAGCACTTTAGAGATCTCTCCATTGCATTAATAACTGCTCCATCATTCTTTATTTCAGTTATTTGTCCAGGATATAGCTCATTCTCATAGGAAAATAGACATAGCCTTTCTTTGACTCATTCCACTTTGAACAGCTGCTAAACACTTTTTTAGGGTGTCAGATGTGTAATCAATGTACCTTCGTGATCCAGGTCGGCGTTTATGTATTCGTCCCATTTTCACTGTGAAAAAATAAGAAAGTTAGGGAAATATTTTCATCATGGATATACATTGCACCAGGTGCAAAGTATCCCCATTTTCAGACCAAAATCGCACACCTATACTGAAAATTCCTTAAATTGTTTACGACCTATTTTAGGTTAGGTTTCACTTCTGCATTCACAAAACAGGACACAAGAGCATGTAATAAAAATATACTCACCCCTTGCTTACTTCACATATATAGTATATTTCTATAATTTATAGGATACAAAATTAGTCACGTATTTGACATAAAACCACGAACAAATATCTACAAGTGACTAATGGTTAGTGATGGGACTACTCAAATGAAAATTATCGATTATATCGATTATGAAAATCTCTCGAGATATCTCGAGTGATCATGTAAATTCATTCGATTATTCGGAGACGAATGACAGTGGCCACAGCGTTACTAACGTCAATCATCACTCGTCACCGAATAACGCAAACGCACTGCTCAAGCGAGAGCGCAGGTGTTTCAAATGTTCCAATGCTCTAACGAGCTACAGAACCTCGAGATAAGACGGCCGAGAGGATGGATGAGACAATCGAATATCACCGCATAAAAAAGATATGCAGTAATTTTATGTGTTGCATCGCGCTGTTTTGAAGGGCGGTTTACAAGGGAGCTTTATTTAGCGAGGATAGAAATTCATATGAATGAAAATAATACAAAAAATATGTTTTCTATATAACGAGCGTTCAAATAAAAACGTGGTCGAAGTTGGCTCTGACACATTGGACGTAGGGAGTAGCTTATAGCGACCAACTTAACCTCATTTCTCAACGAGCTGTATAGCAGCTGTCAGTTTCAATAACGTTAATGACTATATAACTTTATTTTAAAGAATAATCGTGATAACAATAACAAACAATTAAAGGAGCTGTGGAAAGTGTCCCCCTCCTTGTTATAACAATAAATTAAAGCAGCTGCTGAAAGTGTCCCCCTCCTTGTTCCAAGCACTTTTCACACCTGTTCCTCAAAGAATTAAAGACATTTTCTAAGATGCTCGGGGTATTGTTAATTTCACGAATCTTGTCTATAAGTCGAGCCTGCAGATGGTTTAAATCAGGAATAGGCAATTCAAAAATAGTGTTTTTAAGGTAAGGCCACAAAAAGAAATTACACGGCGTAATATCACATGACCTCTGTGGAAATTCATGTTCAGCATTGAGACTTATTAGTCGATTTTGGAAAACTTCCCTCAACATATTCATCGTCTCGCCTGCCATATGTGCCCTTGCGCCATCTTGTTGAAAGTAAAAGTTTATAATTTCGTTTTCTTCCAGCTGGTTAACAAAAGGAGCGATAATTTCTTCTCTATACCTTTACGCAGTAAGAGTACCATTAAAAAAAATAGGTCCATAAATCCTCCTTCGATTGAGAGCACACCAAACTCCAATTTTTTGAGCGTGTAGAGGGCCCTCGACAAAAAAGTTATCTGGTTTTTCAGAAGACCACATTCTCATATTCTGTGAGTTTACGTAACTACTTAAATGAAACCAGGCTTTATCAGAAAAAAAGGTGATATTATGAAGTTCACCGTAGTTGTTTAAAAACCATTTACAAAATACAGCCCGTCGCGGAAAATCAACTTCATGAAGTTCTTGCCGACAAGTTAAACGATAGGAGAACAAACGCAAATCTTTTTTTAACACTGTGTGGCAGGTACCGACTGATACTCCCACCATTTGTGATAAAACACGTACAGAAGTTCTTGGTGCATTTTCCATTATTTGTTGGACATTTTCTTTTAATTCTTCAGTCCGCTTTTTAGGTCGGCCGCTTCCTTCTTTTCTTGTTACACTGCCCATTTCACGAAAAACATTAACACAACGCTGAACTGCGCTTTGAAAAATTTTGTATTCAACGCCGGGAAATTGATTTTGAAATTCTATGAAACATTCCTCAATAGAATACTTCCATATTCCATCAATCTTGCGTACATTTCTAAAGTAGGACTCTATGATAAACACTTTTTGTTCTTGAGAAAACACCATTTTAAACGCTTTTTAAAACGAAAATATTCAAATTGATAGCGGCGCGCTTTGACAGATGACGTTTAAGTTCATTTGCTATACGCTACGCCCTACGTCCAAATTTTCAGAACCAACTTGACCACGTTTTTATTTGAATGCTCGTTAATAATTTTTTTTTTTTCAAAAACCCAAACAATGGATCTCTTTAGGCGGCAACTACTCGTTTTAAACACATGCTGCTGAACCACTCGACTGACAACGAAGAAATGCCACAATCCGCGAAAGTCATTCATTTACCTAGCGTCGACATGTTTCGCATATAATTTGGAATAGGTCGGAAATTTTCGAAGTAGACTTTCGATTATATATCATTCGAATGATCATTCGATTATAAAATTAATTTGAACGGTAACGTCTTGATTATTTAATTCATTCGATTATTCCCATCACTACTAATGGTCCAAATCAGTTTAGGTTTGTACCAGAAATGCGTAGTGGTGCCACTTGTTGCCCAGCACTGAAATTTCGCTCCCAAATAGTAAAACTGCGGCAATATTTGAATTTCAACAGTTTTACAACTATGGTGCAAAATAACCCCCAAAGGAGCAAGGTATACTCACTTTACGGTATTGACTTTCACCATTTTTTTTCACTTATTTTGAATAAAAAACTCCCTTAAAATTATGTTTCTTTGTAGTTTCATAAAGAAACATACTTTCAATTTTCATAACCATCGGTATTTAATTTTTGAGCTAAAGTTCCCGTGAGTGAAAAAAATGTCGTTTTTATCTCATCAATTCTGATTTTGCTGCTATTGTTATTAATTAAGGTAATTAATTAATTTGTGGCTTAATTAATAAAATAATTTGACATACCTTATGCTACAACTGTTCAAAATTTTGTCCACCAATGTGTAAACACATTTGGGCCCGTCTTACTCAGTTACTACGGACTAACACAAATGTTGTCCTAACACAAGCGTTTCACCATAATACGAATGTCTCGCTTCACCATAAATTAAAACGATATCCATCAACTCCGAGTTGCTTTACATGCAAGCAATTTTTGACACCAACTACTAAAATACTATTGTAAACACTATCGCAAGGACGATTGTAAAATCGGATTTCAGTATTCGGAGTCGGTGAGGCCACATGGCTCCGGGTATTGCGAATAACACTAGACACTAGTTGTCCAGCGATGTAATGCTTGAAAGTACAACTTCAATAATTTTTTTCTTGAAAACTATAAGGATTTTATACAAAATTTTTTACAATATTGACTCCATTTCTCATGCTGCATATATTTCCTAATTTTTTTGGATAAGTTGGGAATCACCCTGTATTCACCTATATTGGTACATAATTTAGTACAGTAAGACCCCGCTTAACGCGTAGGATACGTTCCATCAAAGTAGAGCGTAATGCGAAACAGCGCTAAACGAGGCTATCTTAACATGTAAATAATGGGGTTAGGGGAAGATGGATAGAAAATTGGTTAGGTATTAAATTTAATAATGTTTTTTTTTTAAATAAAAATAAAACCAAACATTTATTTCTTACAAAAATAAAAACAATATAAACGAATATTACTTATAAAAACAAATAAGTTTGCGTTTTCCTTTTGCGTTCTGTTAGAAGTTGTTGATAAGTGGATAAAGCACCTATCTATAACACCCCGTCTTGCTTTTGAACTCCTGTCAAAATTTGGATCATTTTCAACAAATTGGTCCATAATTTCAGTTATAGTGGTCAAACTCCTTTTTACAAACGCCATCGAAAGTTCTTTTTGCTATTCTTCGAAATCACTACTATCAATATTTTTGTTTTCTTCTTGCTCAGTTAATTCCTTGAGCTCATCATTAGAACGACTAGCTGCTGTTTCTTGAACTATTTCTGTGACGTCTTCCACATTTACCTCATCTAAACCGGTTTGTTTCGCTAATTCCACTGTTTCGGATAGGTTATGTACATATTTGGAAACCTAAAGCTGCACACAATTTCGGGGAATCCCCGTAGTGCTGCGAGCAATTTCGGGAAATCCCCGGGTTGAAATAAAAGAGCGCTAAACCGAAACAGCGCTAAACGAAACAGCGTTAAGCGGGGTCTTACTGTACTACGATATCCATCATACATACTACAAAAGTCACTTTCAATGACACTTCTTTTTATTGCTTTCCTTAAAAATTACTCAAATGGCACTTTTAGTGCTTATGCCTCTTTCCACAATCAACATGAGATGAAGCAAATACCCATTAGCAACACATAGGTGTCCCTCATGTATGTATTTATTTTATTGCATTTCTTTTTAAATTTGTGAATTTCTATGAGAGGATAGTTATCATTTTAATTTTCTATTCTATATTCAAATAAATCACCTTGTATCAACCCGTTTTTTAAATTTCCTAAATGATATAAAGGTAAAATTTATTTTTTTATATAATTTTTTTTATCTTAGATGCGACGAATGCCAGAAGAATTACCATTTCACCTGTTTAGATCCTCCAGTGAAGAAAACCCCAAAACGGAGAGGATATTCTTGGCACTGTGCCGATTGCGACCCCACAGTAAGTACAAAGTTGTTATGTATCGCTATACTATATCTAATTTAATTTTTCTTTCTAGGCTTCAGAATAATTATTGTATTTATGTGTTTATAGGTATAATCAGTCTGTATTCTAACATTACCGAAATAAATCCAGTTATTTTAATGGGTGATGTTTTACTTCTTTTTTTTTAACCATCAAAAATTTTGTACTAGATACTAAACTTTTTTTGATTTTAAGACACAACTGTTAAAAATTTCACCAAACCCACATTTTATAGGAATGAACTGTTTTCTAACAGAAATTTTTGGGGACTTATTTGGAATAGAAAAATTTTATAATTTTTTTACATTTATTAAAAACTTCAAAAAAAAATTAACAAATTAGACAAAAATATTTTAAAATTCGTCAATATTAATCACAGCAACGTTAGTGCGATAAAAAATTAAGTCATGGTGAGCTGTGGGCATAGGAAAAACTCCACTAAAAGAAGAAACGTCTTTTTTCACGAAAAAAACTTTAGCGGGGTTACCATTTTTAAATTTATTTATAGTATGCTGGAGATCACTGTTCTGCTTTTTTGTATTACCATCAATAACAAAAACACAAAAAATTAATTGGGGGTTATTTTTCATGAAAATAGAAAAAGATTCCTCTTGATTGTCGGCACCCCGTAAGTTATCACATTTTACAAAAATTCTTAATAATTTTTTCAGCTCTATTTCATTGAAACCATTCAACAGCTTAGTAATTGGAACCTCTTTATGGTCTAATCTGGAAAAAGAAGTTTGTTTATTACAATTACTAATTTGTGTTATAAGAACATTACCTAAAGTGTCTTAAATTCTGCGAATATTTCAAATTTTTGCACAAATTCGTAATAAATTTAACATTTTGACCCTTACAAAATAAATATAATGATTCTAAATGTTGACACTTTGTGAAAACCTGGAATGTAAATAAACACATTGTTCAAAAATTAGGAAACATGCAATTTTGTATACAGGGTGTTCTTTTGGTTGAAGGTTTAGTCCAGTATACAACGGTAAAAATAGGGCACTACCTCGGAATTCTTGACACACACACCGATTTTCATGAAAATTGGTGAGTAAGCTCATTTCACCCTTCTTTTACAAAAGTTAATGTGTGCTTATTGTTTTTAGGGGGTGAAAACTACCCCTTCTTGCAAAAAACCATAGATTTAAGTGATATGTCAATAGAATAAGCATTCTTTTATGTTTTGAATAATAATTTTTGATTTGTAGCAACATTTCAACCCCTAAAATCCACTTATGAGGAAAAAAAACAAAAATTTGTTTTCGTGGTTCTGAAATGTTTTGATGGAGCAATAATGAAGAATTGAATATTTTTTACTGTTTATGAATTAATACATTATTTATTGCAACGTTTCAACCCTTAAAAACCACCCTTATTGCAGAAAATAAAGCAAAACATTTTTTTCACATCTTCATAGCATTTATAATGAATGAAAGACTCGTCTCTTGTTTATAATATTACTGATGATTCATTGCAACGTTTCAATCCTTAATGAGGAATTGAAGAATTTTTACCTGCTTCAAAACACCCAACGATACATTACTAAATTCAACGAGATTACTTAAAACTCGAAACTTAAATTATGTAATTAGTGAAAGGGAAAATAAAAATTAGTGTGTGTGTTTGTGCGTGTATTACGCCTCGGAAACTATCGGAAATTAAGCCATTTACACAATCCGACAATTTTCACTGAATAATACAATTCGTTTTTTCACAACTTTTTTAATTTTTAATATCTTTCATTGCTCCAAAAAGCAATTTACAGGGAATTGCAAGAGCTACAAATCAACTATTCGTTTCTTCAAAACCGCGAGTTTTTGAGCTACGAAATTTTTTCAAAACGCATTTAAAGTTCTGTCCAAGCACTTTAAAAAAGGTTATATCAATTTTCTTCGAAAAATTATTATTACGCCATTATTTTACCGTAAAAGGTTCGATTTTACTTTCCGAAAAATAAACAATCACCTTTAGAGAGTGATAACTCGGTTATTATTACATCTACCGTAACAACAAAAAATAAATCGATTCGTTATTTCAAAAGCTTTATTTTGCTTCATATAGGTTTTTCGATAAAACGCAAGGTTTTTGAGTTATTTATCAAAAATGGTTGAAAAATATGCACTTTTTAGATGAAAAATCAACATTTTCAATTGCAAATAACACAGAAAATATTATTTTTTGGAAAAATGTTATAGAGCATTTTTTGCTTATAATTCATCCCTCTATTGATATTTGTGATTAAAATGGATGCCTTCCATGCCACCCCCGAGAAGGGGTGGCATTCACCCTCAAGGTGAAAGCACACATCGGCACTATGTAACTTTTGTTTCTTGAGCAATTTTCTACTTACTATTAAAAGAATTCGGACCTAAAAACTGTCATATACTGAGCTAGTTGTAGAACAGAACTAAAAGTAAAAACATTGTTTTGAAAACTCGGAAGCAAAGAAAATATCATTACTTTCATTCACACATACTATCTCTCGGTGCATCCATGCATGGTGTTAGAAGCAAGCTTTCTGCCTGATTATTTCCATGGTATTTTTGATGGTTATGTAATTCTTCAACTGCGTTCACTTCAATCTTCTACACAAAATTTTCCGTGTAAACCTCACGCTTAAGAATACCCAAATAGGGAAAAAATATAATGGGACGTTGAATAAGTTCTCGTTGTTTTCCAACAGATGGCGTTACTAGAACTGCAAGCGTGTAGTTTAAGATGGTAACGCACCTATCAAGAAGTACTATAAGCAAGCTTGAAATTCAGTGTACAGGGCATCGTGCTTAAATATGCTACAAGCCTGTAACTTCTTTATTTTTTGGCTGATTTCAAAAATTTTTATTTGGGAAAAAAACTAACTGTCATACTGCTGTTTTTATTAATGCAATTCACGGCCAACTAGGACGCGTTTTCCTGACATCAAAACAGCTGTTTGGTATTAGCGATTTTTTTTCCAAAAAACAGATGCCGTATTCTCATTCAGCATCCCTTAAAACGTCTTACCACCAAGTTTCATCAAAATCAATACAACTTCAGGCGAGCACTCTATGATGTCGGGAAATGTAATACAAGAGTGTAACTTTATTTTTTGGCCGATTTAACAAAAAATTTTATGAAATGTATGGTAAAGAAAACTCTATCTGACTGTGATACTGTTTTTTATTAATGCAATACACGGCCAACTAGTGCTCGTCTGAAGATGCATCGAATTTGATGAAACTTGGTGATAACACATTTTAAGGGATGCTGAATGAGAATACATAATCTGTTTTTTGGAAAAAAAATCGCTGATACCAATTAGCTGTTTTGACGTCAAAAAAACGTGTCCTAGTTGGCCGTGAATTGCATTAATAAAAACAGCAGCATTACAGTTAGTTTTTTTTATTGTACATTCTAAAAAAAAAAATTTTGAAATCGGTCGAAAAACAAAGAAGCTACAGGCTTGTATCACATTTAAGCGCGACACTCTGTATGTACACTACTCAAAAGAAATCTGCAGTTGAAGCGCACAAAATTCCTGTTGAGACTTAACGGTAACCATACTCTGTCACAAACAACATGCAGAAATTGGTTTAGATGCTTCAAAAATAATGATTTTGAAGATAAAAAAGGCTCTGGCACACCAAAACAGTTTGAAGGTGAAGAGTTGTAGGCATTACTTCATGAAGACTGATGTCAGACGCTAGCTGAACTTACAAAATTGATGATCACACAACCGTTTCGAAACGTTAAAAAGCATTAAGGAACAAAAACAAGGACATTGGGTGCCATACGAGTTGAAGCCAAAAGATGTCTTAGCACTTGTGAACAGCTGCTTCAATGGCAGAAAAGAAAATTTTGTTTGCATCGTATCATAACTGGAGATGAAAAATGGATACGCTACAATAGTCCTAAGTGTACTAAGAAAATTATGGGTCAAGTCTGGCCATGCACAACATCGTTGGCACAGCAATTTATACAAAGTTCCAAACTTCTGCTTTGCATTTGGTGGGATCAGCTGGATGTAGTTTATTACGAGCTGCTCACACCAAATGGAACCATCACGGGATTCACTATCGACTACAACTGTGCGTTTGAGCCGAGCATTGAATGAAAAACGGCCACTATACAAGCAGAGACATGACAAAGTGACTGACAGCATGACAATGCTCGGCCACATATTGCAATACCAGTGAAAATGCTTAAATGGGGAGTCCTACCCCATCCGTCATATACACGAGACACTGCCCCTTCCAATTACACAGGCCGACAAAATTTTACGAAAGTCCAGAACCAGAGACCGGATCTAGTGTACCCAAAGGATTTTCGGTGCGCTGATTGTGAATTCGAGCTCAGAAATGGCCCATCACCCTCGGTTCTCGAGATATTCTAATCTAAAAGTGCAAAAATCACGTTTTTTTGCTATATTCTTGGTCAGATGAATTAATTTTTTTTTCTAAAATCGCATTAACCCATTAAACGCTGTTGTTGCGAAAACGCAACGTTTTATTTATAATTTTTTTCACAAAAATCAGAGAAGTATATTTTTTATGAATTTTGTTATTTAATATTTGCTTACATTTATTTATAGCAGATTATGTTTTTCATAAAAAATAAGTGAAGTTTTTTGTTTATTTTGCACTTTCAAAGTTTGCATAGTTTTGGGGTTTTGTCAGTCTAATACAGCAAAGCTGCTAACTATTTTATTTCATAATATACATCTTTGTAGTGTTGACATATTTCGAAGGAATTATCGCTTGTTACTATAAATTAAAAAAATATATGACACTTTTATTATCAAAAAAGTTACAACCGCTAAAACTTAAAGTTGCGTTTTCGCATCAACGGCGTAATAGGATAAAAATTTGACCGAAAGTAGTGGGGTGTAACAACACGCGCTGTCGGCCGACGTGCACAGGCTTGTTCATGCCAGTTGCAATTTAGAGCATCTTTTGATGATAACCTATAATAACTTAGTGTAAAATCAGTACGTTTAAAAATATCGGAAAGTGTAATAAACCATGTGGAGTGAAAATTACGAGCGTCATCGTGCTCTAACTCTTCAAGAATTGGAAGCCGAGNATATGGTGAACCTCTCGTGAGATTAGCATCAGAATGTATCAGTGTGTATACATAAGTATCTGCTTCATTTAGTAGTGTTTTCGCAATTTTGGGTTAGAAAATCTTGAAATATTGAGGTTATGGAGCAGGTCCATCGGTGTTTTCAAATTCAGCAACTCAAGAGTTCGTTCTATACTTTTTATACTTTATATCTCGTTTTTGGATAAATTTGATTTATTTCCATGTTGTAACGAAATCGCTGAAGTACTAAACTTCGATCTATCATATCTCCATGAAAAAAAAAAATTTTCATAAAAATCAGTGCATTTAGAAGGATAAGAGCGGTACTTTGAGATGGCTTGACGCGATTTTAGAAAAAAAATTAATTCACGTAATCTGACCCTGAATATAGTGAAAAACTGCGATTTTTGCACTCTTAGGTTAGAATATCTCGAGAACCTAGGGTGATGAGCCAATTCTGAGTTCGGATTCATAATCAGCGCACCAAAATCCTTCGGGTACACTAGGTTCGGTTTCTGGTTCTAAAAAATGTTGGCCTGTGTTATCAGCACTGAGCAGCTCTTCCATTCTTATGAAGATGGACAATACTTTCACTGACATGATTTTTACAAATTTTTTTAAATAAAGCATTAATTTTCAGGAAAAAATAGCAAGAACTTATTCAACATCCCATTATTATGAAGTAGGTAATTATTTCCTAAATACTTTGTTGGACTTTCACTTTTCAGCTACTTGTATTGAATTGGGTATTATAAGATTGTTCACAGGGATATATTTGAATTATTTCAAATGGTTTATCCATTATTTTTTAGATTTCTGAAATAATGTAATTTGAAAATTTTGCTCTGTTCAGATTTATGTTCGTGTTAACCACAACCCAAAAAAACACTTTATATACTGATTTGGTTGAACTACAAATTATACAGATTCATTTTCTTGGTTATTTACTGGAATTCATCCAGCAATCTTGAATATTGTAAGAGGGAGGATACAACAAACCTCTTTTAAAAAAGAACCATCCAACAAAAGAGGTATTTCGAGAACTAATTTTTCTAAATATTGGAATATCCCTATTAATGGAAATGCCGATATTACTGCTCCTGATGTACATCTGAAAGTTAATACCACATGAAATTTGTAAAACCTAAAGTTATTGACATACCCTGGACATGTTAAAATTTCCAGTTCCCTCAAATTTTTTAAGTTATTCGCAGCAGTTTGAAAAGGGTGAAATGCAGAATTAACCTGAACTCCTTTTCTTGACCTTTTGAAACCAGAAGTAAGTTCCTCTTTTATATTCCCTGTGTGATCTAAAACAAGTTGTATTTGTAATTTTAGATATTTAATTTTACAAAAAAAAAGCTTTTATCAGCTTTATTAATTTATAAAAATATACTTACTTTGAAACAGGCAAGATCTAAAACTTAGCCTTTTTAACTTGGAAGAATTTTTGAATGATAGAATTTTTAATGCAGCATCTATATATTTAGAATTGCATAAAATAATGGTGTGACAGAAATTTAAATCTTCAAAATACACCTCTTTTATGGACTTTGTTAAATAAATTATCTAAAAATGTAAAATCAAATTTATAAAGGATGTGAAGTATTGAGCAAAATATGAGAAAAGTGGTTACTAAAGTAGTCCATACGATATTTGTTAAGATAGAATTCCAAGAAGACCCCTGCGTCACTTTCTTGGAATTAACCGCATTAGACACCTGAGATAGAAAGACAGGCGGAAAATTTCAAGGCATGCCCCTGCCGCCCACATTCAACACTCGAGGTAGAAAGACATTGGCGGAAAACAAGGTACGACCCTACCGCAGTAAATTGTGACAGTAGTTTTGATAATTTTCTTGGAATTCTATCTCAACAAATATTGTACGGACTGTAACAAAGCCATTGAATCTTTGTGTTCACAAAAACATTGTAAAGACGTGAAAATTCATATTTTATTAGATGTTATCTAATAGTAAATTAAGGAAATCCAAATACAATAAAAAACATACTTGACTTTCCTTAGGCCCATAAGATATATCTTTGTGAAGATTTTGAAAAATTTGCCAAGATCTTTCGTAGTCGTTTTCTGCTGGTTCAAAGATAGAAGGTTTCATTCCCTCAGATTTAGCTACAACCTTTTCTAAAATTATCAAATCATAATCATTTTGTAATGCCAGAATTGGGTATATCAGATTGTAAATGAAACAATAAGATAAAGAGAACTACGTAATATTACCATATACTAATTCAGTTGCAGATTCCCTTCTCTTGCATTCAAATACTTTAATAAGACCTGTGTAACCGAAGTCATAATAAGGTAAAACAGTTTTTGATTTAATAACAAACTTCTTTAAATTATTTAATAACACAGCAATTTGGCCATAATTAATGCGGCAAGTACTTTCAACTTCGTCAAAAATCTGTAAAAAATTAGGTTACAAAGAAATAGTCTAGTTTCAGTCAAAATACATTACCCATAGTTCCTCTAATTGTTTAAGATCTCGAAAGAAAAGATATATTCCATTATATTCTTCCATTTTTTGTTCAACTTTCAAACATAATGACTTTAAATTTTTTAAATTTTTACTCGCAATCACAGTTGAATGATCAAATTGATTATCCTCAACAGAAATAGCAAGTTTTTTTAACTAGAATATATACACCAAAAGGAGTTGAAAAAAACAATATATGTAAATTGTTGTATAAAGAAAAACTAGGCTTGTTTTGGTTCTGGCTTTAGACAGTCCTAAAACAGTCCAAAATAGTTGCCTAACTATAGTGTGAAGATTAGTGATGGGAGATCTAGAAGGAAAAATCGAGTGGTTCTCGATTCTTAAAAGTTCTCGTTCTCAAATACTTTTAGTTCTCGCATCGATTGGAAATGTTGGAAATGAACGGTTCTCAATATTTGCAAGGCTACTCGGCAAATATCATATGAGATAAATAATTCTACATAAAACTGTAAATCCCCCGCTGATCATTCAACGATTGAACGCCTACGTTTAGTTTTCCGTCCGGCAGTCGGTTCTCGGATAATCATTCGATTCATAAAAGTATTCGAGAACCGAGTTTTCGATTCTTAAAAATACTCGATTCTGCCCATCACTAGTGAATATGTCCACTTAGTAGTTATTATGAATAAAATGAACAACTAATTTGAACTGCTCCAGAACCATTCGCCACCAAAATCAAAATAAACCTATTGATATAGTTAACAAAATTATGTTAAAAGTAAAAAATAAAATAATTTAAAAAGACAAGCATATTTGAAAGCAACTCACTTTAGTATATTCAGCAATATCCTTATCTTTTATTCCTAACTTTGTACTGATAGCATACAGAATTTCAAGGTTTTCTAACTTTTTTATTAATCGTCTCAGATCTTGACTAGGTATCCAGTATATGTAACTAATATTTAAAACCTTTATATAGTTGCAGTTCAAATTTGTGGAAATATATTTACAGAGATGGATGTTTTGGGTCCCAAATTTTCCAGAAAAATCTACTATTCTAAAAATAAAAGTAGCTGTATCTTATATGCGTCCAGTTGTACCATAATCAGTTAGATCATGTCACATTCAGGTGTCCATGTGTAATTTCAAAATGTTCAAATCAAATTGTTCACCATATCGTCTTGAAGGATCTGAGCCGATGCCTAATGGCAAAATAATAACCCACCGTAATCGCAACGGCCTGGAAAACGCACCAAAAAAAACTAAAATTCGTATATATCTCTGACATTTATCTCTATCTTCGAATAAATATTGGATAAACTACTTCCCATAGAAAATTCCCGATTTTCAGTGAAGTTTTTCTAAATAAAAATTTACCTTAAAAAATAAGAACAAATCTCATAGAAAATATCCCTATTTGATAAAAGAAGGGGCGCTTCACGGCTCACGAAAAGATCATATCGTCCTACAAATTGTCTCTTGTTGCAGTCGAGTATAGGAGCGAGAGTTACCTAATGCACCTAATACATTTATAAGAATAACTCACCGAATTACATCCTTCTCCTGTAAAATATAACTATAGTTTTCAAATGAGTTACAGAATTGCATCAAGTCGTAACTGTTTAAATAACTTAATATTTTGATAACAACTTCAATGGGAAGGCCATCCATAATGAAAATTTAGGTATGCTTTCATAAATATCAAGAACTTCTAATAAAATAATTACTTTTCATTCCCATAATCCATAAATCTGAATTCTGAAATCATAATCTAACCTCACTTCAAAATAATCAGCTGTGGAACGTGGAACTCGTTGATTCATATTAACTACTTATACAGTTATTCATATTAACTACCCAAAGAGTCCACAATTCTAACTACCACTCAGCGTTTCCAAATTCCACACGTGATCCATGATTCTAACATTTCTAGCAGTGAGAAGTTGAAAATCAACATCATAATAACAATGCAATTTAATGCATGTATATTTAATAAAAAACATGACAAAAACAAAACATTTGTACATGTAGAAAATATAAAGCAACCACTTTTCAACAATTTATAAATAAAAAAAATCCATAAACCCATCAAAAGAATTAATTACCTCAGCATCATTAGGTCCCCACGGCACATCGCAATGAAGCGATTTTAAAGTTTCCCAACATCTTTCTATTGGACTTTCAGTGCAATAGTCTTGGTATTCCCTATCAACTAAAGATACCCTTTCTGAAATAAATAATAAGTACGTGTTTGAACACGACTTCATTTTGACTTCAAACCTTTGACTATAACAGTGTATATAGTGTATAGTGTATATAGTCAAGGCTTCAAACTTACCAAAAATAATTTCTTCAGCGAATTCATACCGCTTGCTTTGAAAAAGTTTATTAAGTCCCCAACAGCTTAGGTCTAAAATTGGCAACGCTCTTCGAGATTTAATAACAAGCTTATTTAAAGTAGGAAGATTCACAACAATCCTTTCATAATTTATTGCATAATCTTCATCATTATCATATATCTACAATTACAATCATTTGTTTGTTTAAAAATGTATGTACTCATTCTAAATATGTATATATATACCCATAAGTCAGTCAGTTTTTTCAGTGCGCTTAAAAATATATAGAGCTCCTCAAAATTATTCTTTTTTAAACTAAATTTCAGGCATAACTTTTGTAGTGAATATAAACAATTGTAATAAAAATCTGTCGTCATATTGTTTTCTAATTGGTTGGGTTCAGCAGACACTGATATTTTTTTCAACTGAAAAGTGAAAGTGAAAGATTATAATTAAAATGAAAAGTATATATTCACGTATTTATAAAAAAGAATACCTATGTAAATATTTACAACCATGGGCGTAGCTGGGGGGGAGCAGGGGTGTGCACGACCCATGCACCCCAGAAAGGGCGGTGCCCACCCTAGTAAAAGACCCAATAATATCATCTTTTTCACTTTCTTATACCGGTCGCTGACTGCGCCATTTTTCGTTTAGAATCAAATGAAAGAGTGCTTAGGATTTGAAATATTATGTTGGTAGTTGATTACGTGCTAGCAGCAGCCCTGGGGCCACCCAAACCAAAAATTCTAGATACGCCCATGTTTACAACATCAATAAGGTTAGTACCAACATAATAAAATATTTATATTAGGTTATTAGAATGTAATAGCTTTGTTCCTAGTGCATTGAAACAGTTTCCAACAGCCCGACGCAATCGCATTTGATTCGAAACAATGAATTTTGAACCTTATGTAAGCATTACATCCATATGCGCATGCGTCTGACTGTTGGAAACTGTTTTGGATTCTCCTAGGAACAAAGCTAATATGTATTGTAGAAAAAAGTACTGACGATAATAAACATACCAGATTTTTAGTAGGTACATCATTTTGAGAGAGAGAAAAAGTGTTATTTTGTTAATTTGTATCATGATAAGTTAAATTATAAATCCGCAACAATTAATATTTTACATAGGTACTGACTAACCTGGCTATATAATAAAATATCCTTTTCTCTAACACCAATTTTAGTGTCGATGGCATAAAATTCTTCGAGAAGATGAAGCTTTGAAAGCAATTGTCTAATATCCTGGAGAGATATCCAATATAAATAATCTATGTTTAGCACTTTTATGTATTTGTATCCTATTTTATTTAATATATATGGCGTTATTTGGAAATCACTAAATTGGCATATAAATTTGAAATTTAAAGCTCTAAAACAAAATAATGTATTTGCATCAAATTTTTAACAATTAAATTTGGACAATTTATTTATATCATATCAGTTTCGGACCAGCGCAGCACTTTTGGGCCACCTGGTGAATGTGATATTTGGCCTTCTGTTACAAAATTAAAACTTAAAAATGTTTCCCGATCCAATTTTTCGAAAAAATAAAAAAAATTAAATTCTGAAAAAAATCATGTGTAGTGTATGCATAGGTATAACTTTAATTCTGCTTATAAAAGACATCGCTCTTCACATATTGTAGGTGTGTAAGGATTCAAAAAAATTTTTCGGTGGTACAAACCACAAAACAATAATGTAGAAACTCTATGTAGACAACAGTCTACTTGAAAAATCTAATTAATTTCGAAGAACTTTAATTATTGCAAAACTATTTTTGAAAAATTAGGTAAAATTCCGAGATATATCCGAACTTGAAAGGTACTTTTCTTTAACGTAACTTAAACTTTATTTTGGGAACTTTTATCATACCAACCTACTTTGTTACTTCAGATGGCGATAAATTTCAGCTATAAGTAGCCAAAAACTCTATTTCGAATAGACAAGCTTGCAGTATATTAAGGAATATTAAATATTAAATCAAATTACAACAATGAAATGTTGTGATTGTTTAAAAAGATAATGAGAAAATATGTCATCTCAGTACCTACCTATTATTTTTAAGTAAAAAATTGTTTAAGAATAGTTTTTAGGGAATGTTGTCAATGTAGTGTAAAAACTTCATTAGGTACCCTGTTAAATTAAATAAATTAAAGTTAGCTGTTAAATTTTGCTGAATAATTTTTGATCATATAGGTAATAATTTACAAGTTTACATTTATTTATTGACAAACTATGGCAGCATCAATAATTATACAATTCACTTCTGTAGGTAGGTAGGTATGTACATACCTATTTAAATTTTAAATAACGAACTATTAATAGACTGTGCTGTATTCACGATCACGATACGTTTAATGGAAGTACTTACTCAATAACACGCCTTTCCTTTAAAAAATAAGAATATTTATCATATATATTCAGAAACTGAAATAAGTCAGAAGTAGGTAAAAGGCTTAAAATTTTTATGACAATTTCATCTGGAAGGCGATCCATAGCGATTAATTGTAACACCTAAGAATTAACGTCATTATTTTTTAAATTTTGATTTAAAATATACACATTAACAAACAAGGAGAAAATCACCCACTATAGGTATTTTTAAAACTAATTTCCTTTGCTTCTTTTCTTTCACTTTTCAGTGGGTGGTAGTAGTACAACTGGTGGTGGTATTCATAAAATTGATAGTACGTTAATTCTCTCATAGAGTACGCACCAAGTATTGTTCTGAAACGTGAACATAAGCAACCACCAACAGAAACCTGTATTTTTGATATCCAGATCAGTGATCACGTGGTTTGTGGCTGTCAGTGTACTTTTGTCGATTGTGTAGTCGTTCTGGATTGCCCTGTCCATTTTTGATTTTTTTTTAATGATTTTTGGATATACTTTTGAACTGGTAAGTAATCAATAATGGTTAAATATTATATCTACTAAGATGAAGTAAATAGTTATTAGTAGAGCAAATTATTTCTGAAAAATGTTCAAAGAATTGATTTAGAAATTCCCGACGCCATTTTCTTTAATGTAGTATCTAAAGAATCCGTTTTTGTTTATTGTAATAATGGAGCATACATTTTGCTGTAATTACTAAACGACACCGCTTGAAAATTGTTTCTTTAAATAATGAAATACATATAACTAACGCCTGAAACAATTTGGTAGTATTAAAATTAATATTGTTAATGCTGATTTTTTTCAAATAATTCGTGTTGTGTTGAGTACTTACCTACGTGACGCACTATGTTTTCTTGGATTTTAAATTCATTTTAAATATTGGAATATGGACATTGATTGTATTAAATGCACAAGCCTTAATGTTAAAGAGATAAACTTAATCTTGAAAATAAACGAGCAAGATGCTGCAGAAACGTTCCTTGATTTCTAAATTATTCAAATACCTAGTGGTAAATGTACACCTATTCAAAATAGTTGCTTTTATAGATATGTATCTGTTTTATTTTGAGATATCCATAGCATTATAAAATAACTTCGAAAAAAGGGTTGCTCGTAGCATATACTTGACATGACTTTTTCATTTTATAAATCAAAGATAAGCTTAAGTAGTGCTAATGAAAAGTAAATGGCGTCTTATTGTTCTTTACACCTAATTATTTTATTACAACGATCATTAAAAATTATCTCGGTTCATTTAAAATTTACACTCTGTGGTCAGAAATAGGTTAACCACACACAATGTCTTCATTACAATCAACACTCCACTGTTCAATGTAATGGAACTTTCTCGGGAACTTTTAATAATTAGAACTATGTGGCAAGCAGGTGCTTTAGTTTGCATAGTTTTATTGGACAGTTGCAAAATATCTATTATCTTGTGGCATTTAAAATAATGGTGTATAAATATTTGATTGCAAAAGTTGAAGTTGCCGTTTAGATTAAGACGTAATAGTCGTTGAGGTTGACCTATTTAGTTGTTAACAAAACATTGCAGTAAAGTAGAATGTAGGTATTGTTGCACTTCATCTTGTTTCGCCACTACGGAAATTTTTCTACTTGGAGGAAGAATACCACAATGATTTGAAATTAAATTTTAAATGTTAAGAGTAGGTATTTCAAAGTAAATGCGACAATGCGTTTTTAAATTTTAAAGAATTGAATTCTCCCATAAAGTATTATAAAAATTTACATATAAAAACTATTAAAAACTTAAAACTATTTTGAATCACCGTATTTAGGCATAGGTATTTTTTTAAATTTTGCTGAAGTGTTACAACATATTGAAGGTTTTTTTTTATAAATGTTGGTGATTTGAAAACTGAGTTGCATTAAATTTCACAAATAAATTTCTTTCCTATTTTCTATACATAATTGTTAAAAGAGTTTTGTCAATGATTTGAAATGACATTGATATTTATTTAAATAGGTACTAAAAAATAAGTGAAACTGGTTTAAAAATAGTATTGTTGACAGGTCTGAACACTACAATATAATTTTCTATGATTATAATAACTTTAATATTTTTAACTGCAGAACCCGGAAATGTGATGATAATATATATTTAACAAAGCAAAAAATATTTAAGAACTGTTTTAGAAACGGGGTCACCTTCTTGAACCATTTCCAAATGATTTATTTCTCAACAAAATGCCCTAAAATTTCGTCTAAGATTTGTTCGCTAGAAACTTTTTTGTACAATCTCGCCAGTTTGAACGGTTTCTATTTGTTTTATTTATACGAAAATATCGTATTTTTAATGAAGAGAACAAGTATCTAGTATATGTAGAGTCGAATATAAAGCATACATACATATTTAGTATTATTAATTAATTTTTCATTTTTGTATGAAGTTGAAGTACTTACTTGAATGAATGTAATTTTGCAGTAATAAATTTTTGTAAAAATTGCAAATTCGAATTTACTATTTTAAGTTTTATTTATAGAAGAGGAAGAAATACGTTATGCTGACCATTTCAATGTAAGAGTTCCAGCTCACTGTTTAGTAATCAGTCTTTATTAACATGGTAAGTTTTTCATTGCATTTTTTTTTTTCAGGGAAACATTACAATGTTTTGATTTTTAGAATAGGTTTCTAAAGTTTCAGTAAATTTTACTGTTTATTATAAATAAAAGTATTTCGAGAAGTTAAGTAAAGTTAATAAGTGAATACATCCACTAACACAATTTAAAAAAAAATACTAGGTATATTTCTGTCAAATACGTAAAACTGATTCTGGATGTAAAAAGATTGTAATATCCCTCTTAACTAGTAGTTATAATTAAACATAGCTTTAACATCGCGACTGTTACTATCATTTTATATTATAAAATATGTGTATGTACAGCTAATTGTTGGAAAAATGCAGAAGTTTAAATCTGATGTACTTAGATACAGATCGATGTATAGTAATAAATAACAATGTTAACAAATTTAAAAAATTTACGTTTATGTCCTCTCAATTTAATTGTTAAGCAAGTTCATTCACGCGAATTACTAATAAATTCATATTCTATTAGAATAGCTACTGGTTAATTGTAGCTGCCCCCCCAACTAGAAATTCGAAAAAGTACAACAATTTTCTTGAGCTAAGAAATATTCGATTGGAAATTTTTAATAAAATGTTTTTTTATTAAACTTTAATTTTGAAAATTAATAACTACTTAAAAATTTAAAAATATAACATTTTATGTTAAAAAGTAATACATTTCCATACTTTAAGCTCTAGAATTTTAAATTAAAAAAAAAATAAATTTTTATCTATAGGAATCTATCTAATTTTCGTTGATTTTCTTAATTTTTTTAGTCATTTATTTTTTTTATGTTTTTCTTCAAAAATGCATAAAAAGTTTATGGCCAATTTTCTCAGAAGTGATCGACTTGGAACAAGAATACCTACCTACATTTTTTATGTATGTTAAGATGTTTTTCGAAAATTTTATTTTTCTGTAAAGTGACGAACAATTTTTCCTCCACTGGATAATCTAAAAATCAATACAGAATTTCATTTTCAGTCACTATGGGGATATTTAATAAAAATGTGTTCTAGGCAGTATACATTTTTTTTTTTTTAATTACAATTGGGCTGTTTCAGTTTGACACCATATTTGAGAAACACCCTGTACTTTATTAAGTCGAAAAATTTTGAAAGTTGCCCTGTCATTTATAATTTTTTTTAGTAAAAACTATAATAAACCCTATAAAAATAGGACCCACACCTTTATCCAGTTCGAATGATCCCAAGCGTTTCATATAT